TGAGTACTTTTATCTTTGGTAATTTCGACAAGTATATTTTGATGCTAATACTTTTAGATAAGTAAGATTTTGATTGCTGGACTTAGACTTGTAAAGTAAAAAGTCTAATGCGAATAAACCCTTTAACTAAAAACACTTCATAATGCAATAAATAAAAAGACTATATGATTAATATCTGCTGTTTCATCCTAATTGTGTTTACATTGTGCTTGACAGGATCTCCTGTATCGTAATGCCACAGTTATTGTGGGTAATGTGTCATGATGTGCTGTTTTGTTAGTAACAACACCCTACCACTGATAGACCCTTCTACAATTTCGAAACAATGATGATGTACGCAAGTGTGCACACGCAGTTTGTCAATGGAAGTATGGTTCAGCCCAATAGCTTGTCAAGCTATAAAATACATTCACCACTAAATATCGCAAATGTAACCTAAACAAATTGACTGAGCGGGTAGAATACATTGGCAAGAGGCCTAATATTTAGTGGCCAGATATATACTTATATTTGTTGGAGAAACCTAACATGTAATGTTACACCAGCGAGAAATAACGAGCATACAAGTCACTAGATCCTTAAAAGTATGTTATCTGTGGTCATTTACACGACGTCAAATACCATGACTCGGACTGTATTTAGTTTAAAAGTGGGCGCTACAAACACAAGGATTTCTGATCAGTCCAGTTAGTGATAGTCAACACGTTACATACAGTAGCTTGCAGCCATCGACGCGGCAGGTTGTTTCAGTTCAACAAGTAACTGTGTTACCCTGTGACTCTGTAGATGCGACAATGGTTGCTCGTAGTGACGGCAGCTGTTAAAAACACAATCGGATCATGTAGGTGTCTTCATAAAAGCCTTCAATTAATCCTAAATACATACTCATCATGTCACGGTTTTGGGTTTTGTTTCGTTGTTTTTTCTGTTTTATTTAGACTTTCTCTGCCTCTTGTGTCCTGTGTTCACTTCACTTCCTGCCCTTGTCTGTTTTCCCGCCTGTGTGACTGTCTGCCCTGCCCTTGATTGGAACCCTCCTGTGTCTAATTACCTGCACCTCCCAGTATATTTAAACGCTGTGCGTCCCCGTCTCAGTGTCAGATCGTCTTTGTTTCAGCCTCAGTCATTTCCTCAGTCAAACTCTCCGGTTCAGGTGCGATTCCTCAAACCTGTTTTTGTGTCTTCTGTGAATAGCTCGTTACATTATTAGTCTTTTGTTTTTGACTCTTTAGTATGCGTGTAAATTCTGCTGGATGCCTGTTGCCTTTTATTTTTACAACATTCAGTCTCTGCTGTGTGATCTCTGTGCTTGAGTGTTACTCTGTTCATCACACATCAGTGTTTATCTACTGCAACCATTTACGTAAGTTACTATGAGCAAACACAAATACCAGTTAACTTCAACACCCGTTGCTCTGAAACGGTTGTGATCCTGTCCAGACATTTTGATGCAGGTAACAGTTGTTATTCATTATTTAAAGCCTGCCCACTGGTCTGGATGGCTGAGACAACATGAGCATGCATAATGTTGTAACATTGTCTGTAAAAGGGCCTAGGCCATGGTGACCAGGGCCATTACCCAGTCATCCCCTTCAGAGTGATCATGACAAGAGCAATGTGACCTTGTCTGCTAAACAAAACACACACACACACACACACACACACACACACACACACACACACCAGGAGCTGACTTCCCTGATTTGTACACCTCAAGTCTGAGATTGGGGACCTAATCAGTGAAATCAGCTGATGTTCCGTTTGGTTGGAATCAAAATCTGCACACTCGGCTCTAAATAGCATCCTGGTAAAGACCACTGACTTAGACTGTCAGTTTTTAATCCTGATCCTCAGGAAACAAAACTGCTACGACTGCTGGTTTTCCTACTGTGCCTTCCAGGTATTCAATAGTCCTCGTCTTGATGACTAGAATGAAAACCAGCAGGGTCCTGATGACCACAACTGTTAACCATTGGGCTCGACTATTCCATGAATTTCCTGTCAACCTAAAAATTGTTCTTAATGCATTTTATAGAGGATCAACGTACATTATTCTGAAGGTTTTCCCCTGGGTGTTTGTATTTGATGTCTATTGTCAAGACAATTATGTGTCCAAAAATGTATTTGTGTTTTTTCATATCAGAATTCCACATTTCTTCCTGTAAAGTGACTGAATATCTTTTATGACTCATCCTGCACTGTGGGTGGACTCAACATCTCATCTAATACCATGTGATTATAAATGTTTGGGGCAACACCACCAACTCTGTTTATGTGAAAGCTGCAGATCTAGTAAACTAACGTTAGAAGTATTAACGTATGTTGGGAGTGAATTTGGTTGACAGCATTTTAAGAGCATTGCCAACATCACTATAGAGTATATGTTCTCTCCACTTCAAAAGGCTCAGATATTCAGTGTGTTCTCGTTCTTTTATTGGTGGTGAAAGAAGAAGGAAGCGGTGTCCTTTGAAACTGTAATAAGTTTTTCCTGTTGTAACTCTTAGGTGAGAAACATGTCACAGCACATTAAACTATATACATTCCAACTAAATCAAAGAAGAAACACTTTTCACAGAACCTGCATGGATGACTTGCTTATCGGCTAAAATGCTCAGTACTGTCTAGTTGTTTATTAAGATTGACTATATATGCAAAAGGCAATGATGGAATTGGAAGAACATTTACTCCAGGACAAATTTGAGGTACTTTACAAAGTATTAGTATGTCCATTTAATACTACCTAATACTTTTACTACACTAACCAACAGTTTTTAACCCTCATCCTACCAACTGAGGTATCATTTGTTTCAGATCTTATATCTTTATTTTGTCATTACAATTTTTCACGACTGTCATCAATTTGTTTCTAATGACTCCATGTCATTGTTTTAATTTGTTTTAATCAGTGCTTTTTAAATAATAATTTTAAATACCAATGTATTGGGTTCCTGGGGGACCCTAGTCCAAAGCATTCAATTATGGTCTATGCAGTTTTAGATACAATATTATAGCTAGATTAAAATCCTAATTTAAAGTATCAGACATTAACAGGGGAGTCGGGGCACTCTGTCATTTTGAAGTAGACAGATGCAGCAGACAAAGATTTCTTTATGTGATCGTCTCTGCCTATTTTAATTTGACAGAATATGCACATTGTACTGTAACATTTAAAAAATAATGTTAAATATGTTGATGAGCGTTCAAATTGTTGAAAGCTAGTTCCAGCTGTGATAAATGTATCACAACATTGTTATTGTTAAAATAAAAATGTATTTTACAGAAAAGTCAGAATTCAGTGTTTCACAAAAGATGGATTAGAAAATAAGAATACAAACACGAAAGGGAAAGAGCTGAATAGCTGCGCTTGACAATGGAGTGCAGCTCTCGATGTAAAACTCGTAGGTGTCATACCCTTCAAAAAATACTTGAACCCAACATCAAATAATATCAAACGCCCTGTGCAAATGTTTTTACGAAGCTGTAAAGTTATGTGTGGTAAGATATTGCATGCTGTTCTCCAGATATTGCAGCAGTACTCAATTATTAGAAGTTATTAGAACACTACATACAATTCAGACTTTGGTGTCAGTACTGGCCAAGGCTGGATGCAAATGACTGCTTAAAGAAGTGTACGTGATACGTGGGAAAGGACAAAGAGTAACTTAACATGACAGCAGATCTTATAATCCTTCTATCTGTGGCAAATATGGAAGACAGGCTGAGCTTTGAAGTATTCTGGTCATCCAAAGTATTGCCTTATTCACTAGTGCATAAAAGAACATTTGGGGAAACTGTGAATCTTTAGGGTTAGTATCAACTCCTTGGAGACTATACGGTATGTATCACTTACACTCACAACTCAAAATGCATTTTTTCTCTTTATGGGTTCTTTTATATTCATAAGGTGTTATTATCATAGTCAGTGTTTCAAAGCAGTCAGCCCCACAAGCCAATGCCGCCAGAGACTTTTAGCAGCAGGGAGTCCTGGTCTGTCTACTACTACAACAGACTGATGTCTCATTAGAAAGACAGGCTGTACTGTACCAGAAGACAATTATAGAGACTCGAAGGGTAATGGTACTTCCTCTAATTGTCATGCTGACCAAATTCATGCAGTTAAAAAGGCGTCTTCTCTGTGGACCAAATCCAATTACAGCACGGGGAATATCAGAACAACACGAGTGAAAATGATCGGTGAACTGAAAGAAAGGTGGCAGGTAGTTTTAAAAACCTGCAGAAGTTCGTACACGGTAGATAATAGAGAAGCTATCACTGTGCATTCACTTTCATAATCTAAAGAGTTTTCTACAAATAGTGTAAACAAAGTGTATCAAATGTAATAAACATCCCAAAGCACTGCAGTAAAACCATCACAGACACATTTTTCAGATTTATAATTGATTCTGATCTGGTTTATGGTTTTGTATAATGCGCTCTGTCTCTTGACATCAGACAGCATAACACACCATGTCAGAGTTCAGACAAGCCAATTAGCGTCCAACTGGGATCCATTTGCATGGAGTCAAGCTCCGAAGCCAAATCCACTCATTCAGGTTTTATTTCCTACTACATCTCAACAGTGCCCAGCCCCTCCCTGCTAAGAGGACATAATGAGGCAAACCTCATTACACTTTCCTTGAATGAGCAGCTGATGTATCACAACATCCCAGGCAGAACAACAACAACAAATGCTATGAACCCATAAAACAAACTAAAGAAGAGTGTGTCCTTTATACACCTAATTCCAAAACAATTCGGAATGAAAATTATTAATTTAGCAGCCCACCGACATTTTACATGTTCTGAATCATGGGCCTAGTGAAAAGGGAGAAAGTCAACCCTTTTCGCAATCATTTCACTAACAAGTTGGATTTCATTGCCCCTCAATCTCTGATAAACCACACAGTTGCTAACAAGCATATTTCCAAACTCTGTATTTCTGCTTGCACTGTGAGCAACATGGGCCCGCAGCTGCAGGCCAGTTGGATGCATAAACTCACCTCCTTCTCTCCACAGATATTGCTGATGATGGAGTTGGAGGCCGGACTGGCAGAGGGGCCGAGGACTGCCACAACGCCTTTCGACATGATCTGGCACACTGACAGAAAACAGAGAGGGGATGGAGGGTAAAATAAGGATTGAGAAGGGAAAGGAGACGGCAAGAGAGCAAGTCAGTCAGCCAGTGCTATCCAAGAAAGTAAAGTACAGGCTTTCTTGAAGAATCTGAGTCATTTAAAAAAAGGCCCTCTTCAGCCAGACGTTAATGGATGCACATGCTGACTATCTCAACCTCTAAACAGATAGTGGCCTGAGCCAGCGCTTCTACTGTCTCAAGGGAACCTGAACCTACATGCGTTAATGAAACCTTCTCAAGGCCAAATACATTTGTCCATGTTTAATATGCCTAACGTGATGCACATATAGAAAAATCCAATAGATCCTGCCAATGAGAGTTTAAAAGCGTGCGGGAGGAATTGATAGTCATATAACAGACTTTCACACAGAGACAGAAAGACATGGAAATGGGAAGAGACAGACAGATAAACAGAGTGACAGTAAGAGAGGCAGAGACAAAAATAGTGACAGACAGCAATATCTGGAGGCTTAAAACATGAAATCTGGTATTTCAACATTTACACATGAATGCCATAATATCCCCAAAAGTGCCACAGGCATCCCATCTTGTTTTTCACATTTTACATTTACAAGGACTGATTTAAAAGCTTTACCTTTGGGTACCAAAACATATCTTTAGACATTTCAGGGAACCTGAATCGTACTCTTCTCTGTACACAGGCCATATGCATTAATCTCCCCATACTGGAAAACAGAATGTCATTTCTCGTGAGTTTATAATCCTTGGCTTCTAATTAAACCGCTACAGTCAAAATGATGTGAGGTAGACACAAGTACAGTCACTATGTACTGTTCATGTGTGTAAACAAAATCAGTGTGCACGATGATGATTTGGTGTGGGCTACTGGGGCAAATGCAGAGCATTAACCAGCTGCGTGTGTGGAAAAAGGCAGGGGGGGGGGGGGGGGGGGGGGGGGGGGGGGGGGGGG